GGGAAAAAAAAAAAAAAAAAAAAGAAAAGAAAAATCCCTTTTTAACTCAAGCACTGAGATTTCAGTTCAGTTCCCACATCCTCATTAAAACTTCTCTTGCAGCAAGATGTTTATTTTTCATTTTGGAGGGGAAGAAAGCAAATTTTCACTCAATGGGGCTGTTTCTCCTTGTGGTAGGGATCAGCTGAGTGAGGAATGCAGGGTGGCACGGGGTTAATGAGGGGCAGGGTTTTAACCTCAGGTTTAGAAAGTCATCATTTTGGGGTGTTTTGCTGTTTTTTTGAAGGTTTCTTCCTTAATTGCACATAGAAATTGTGGCATCAGCAACATGGTCCCCAACTGTGCCGGTGCTACAGCAGGGAGAGAAAGCTCATTGCCCTTTGCAAAATGTTGGCAAAAATTTGAGTTATTAAATAGATAACCTGGGGTAAAATGTGGACAATGCAAATTTTGGGAGGAGAAAAGGGGTTTTGGATGTGCCCTGCAAGCGCCTTTTTTTTTTGCACTCACCCTATGCCCATTTAGGGTTGGTTTTGCTCATTTTTTGGGTTGGTTTTGCTTGGTTTTGGGGTTGTCCATTGCCATTTTCAGCCAATTCTCTCCCCATTCCTCTCCCCTGGCAGGTTTTATTGCCTGTGCAGTGTTTTTTAAAATTTCTTTCTTTAATGTCTCTTCGTCATGGGCTTAAATCTTGCAGCAAAACCCTCTGTGGTGGGGAAAACACGCGCACCGGGAATATCAGGGCAGGGAGAGAGCCCTGGACAAGCACCTCCGGATGCTCTTCCCACGCCGTCGGCATGATTTATTCATCTGGAGCTCAGGGGAATCGCAGAGACCTGCTGGCCTGATGTTTAATTCATCCAGGAGAAGTGTTTTGATGAAGAGCTGGGGATGGGGAAAAAAAAAAAAAAAAAAAGAAAAGAAAAATCCCTTTTTAACTCAAGCACTGAGATTTCAGTTCAGTTCCCACATCCTCATTAAAACTTCTCTTGCAGCAAGATGTTTATTTTTCATTTTGGAGGGGAAGAAAGCAAATTTTCACTCAATGGGGCTGTTTCTCCTTGTGGTAGGGATCAGCTGAGTGAGGAATGCAGGGTGGCACGGGGTTAATGAGGGGCAGGGTTTTAACCTCAGGTTTAGAAAGTCATCATTTTGGGGTGTTTTGCTGTTTTTTTGAAGGTTTCTTCCTTAATTGCACATAGAAATTGTGGCATCAGCAACATGGTCCCCAACTGTGCCGGTGCTACAGCAGGGAGAGAAAGCTCATTGCCCTTTGCAAAATGTTGGCAAAAATTTGAGTTATTAAATAGATAACCTGGGGTAAAATGTGGACAATGCAAATTTTGGGAGGAGAAAAGGGGTTTTGGATGTGCCCTGCAAGCGCCTTTTTTTTTGCACTCACCCTATGCCCATTTAGGGTTGGTTTTGCTCATTTTTTGGGTTGGTTTTGCTTGGTTTTGGGGTTGTCCATTGCCATTTTCAGCCAATTCTCTCCCCATTCCTCTCCCCTGGCAGGTGAACCTGGATCTCACCTCCCTCCTCGACGGTGAGGACAAGAAGTCCAAGAACAAGCGGGGTGTCCTGCCCAAACATGCCACCAACATCATGCGCTCATGGCTCTTCCAGCATCTCATGGTGAGCACCGCAGCTGCCAAAACACCCTGCAAAGCTGGGGAAAAAAGCGCAAAAAAACCCCAAACTGAACAAATGGAGATGGTGGTTTGTTTGAATTTATATTCAGAGGCACAAAGTGGTTTTGTTTTTATTTTGGGACTATTTTGGGGATGATTGTTTTCACTGAAGGTGGCCAAAACACTCCCTTAATGCATGAAGAAGCAAACAAAACCAGAGGGGGCAATGGAGGGTTTTTTTCCAGTTAAGAGCTCCAAAACATCATTTTCCACCAAGCTGGGGTATGAAACCTGCCCCACAGGTATGGTTTGTGGCACATCAGCAAGCAGCTGAAATACAGAATTACAAAATCACCACATTTTCAGGGTTGAAAATGTAGGCAAATGGAGGGAGCTCAGAGGATGCAGCTCTAATGCAAGGAGATTGTTCTCCCACCAGCAGGGCTGGGAGAAGGGTAAAAAGCTAAAAAAACCCCATTTTCCTGTATAATTTGGCCAAGAAATCACTCAGAAACTGCTTGCAAAGAGTTGCATAAGGGTCTCCAGGAAGTTGGGAGACTGACAGGTAACAGCAAGACAGAAAATAGGAGCTCCAAGGAGCAACTTGGCGTAAAACATGACCCAGGACATGGAGCAGCAGCTGGTTAGGACCTTTCCAGCTTTTTTTTTTTTTTTTTTTTTTTTTTTATGTATTGCATTGAGGACAAAAGCATGACTGTGTTGGGCTGCCATCCCAATCTGTGTCGTGCATCTCCCAGGCTTTTGGAGGGCTGAACTGCAGATATTCAAGCAGAAAATGGATTTAGAAGACCAGAAACTGAGGAGCAATCTTCTGCTGGGTGCCAGGAGAACCCCATGGTTTGAGATTTCCAAAACTGAATGGAAAAAGAAGAAGAAATTGTTCTACTGGATGGTTGGACATTTGCTCTCAGCTTGGTCAGAAGATGCTTGGGCTTCTCCATGGGATTCCTCCATCTGGCATCATAGATGATGTGTTTTTTAACCTAATAGCATTGATGCTCATCATTTCATTGGGTTTGGGAGTTCTGTAGCACCAGCAGGAAGAAGGGATGCTGGAAATAATACACCAAAACCAGGGATACTTTTGCCAAAAAAGAGCCATTTTTAACCACTCTGCAGTGGAGTCTCCTGCATGGACTTTGGGTGGTTTTGTCAAGGAAATCACACTATTTTGGGGGCAAACAGCTGGAAAACGAGTCACATGAATCAATACTGGTGCTGGTTTGGGGGTCTGAAAAATGACACATGGGGCTGGTTTGCTGATTTCATTTTGGGGGTTGGAAATAATGATTTTAGCGTGGTTGAGAGGAGGTTGTTGATGCTTTGAGTGCTGGTAGTCTCCCAGTGCAGATGTTTCAGGGCGTTTTATTGATGCCTCTGACAAGGAGTGTTGTGGGTGACAGCACGTTTTGAAGCCCAAATCCCACCTTTACCAACAACTATTATCAGAAAACTGCTAAAACTAAAAAAAAAAAAATAAAATTAATATTTTCCTTGATGGAAAAGCCTTTAGTGGAAAGCCTTGGAAAAGCCTTAAGGACACCAGGATGCCTTTGGATGCCACCCTTAACCCTTGCGTCTTGCAAATGCAAGAAGCCACCAAATTTGGGGTGGGAAAATGAAAAAAATGGGAGTTTAAATTTTTTTTTATCACTCAGGGCTGCCATTTTGCACACAGGGATGTAATTTTGCTGCCCCATCTCTTTTTCTCTAGCACCCCTACCCCACAGAGGACGAGAAGAGGCAAATCGCTGCCCAAACCAACTTGACCCTCTTGCAAGTCAACAACTGGTGAGCTCATCGGTGGCCCATGAAGTCATCTTGCTGGTTTTAGAAATTTTTTCACGCTGTTTCGGTGCTATATAATGCTTGTTTCGGTGGTAACTTGGGAAGTTAGGGCCAATTTCTGGGAAGACAGGCTCTCGTGTGTTTGACTGTGTACATTTGTGATGTCTCAGTGCCCTCTCCTGGCAAATCCAGTATGTAGCAGCCTCTCAACTCAGCTGGAAAAAGGAATGTGATGTTGTAACATGACACAGACAAATAAAATAGGGTAAAATCCCCCATCTTTTTACACCATGCAGCCATTTTTGAAAGGGTTTTATATTGCAACTCATTGAATTGTTATCATGTCTGTTGTATTAACTCAAAAATGCTGTTAACATCTCTTATTTACTCGAATGGCTTCTCTTTTCCCTTGAAAGGTTCATAAATGCCCGACGGCGCATCCTGCAGCCAATGCTTGACGCCAGCAACCCAGACCCAGCCCCCAAAGCCAAGAAAATCAAATCTCAGCACCGGCCCACTCAGCGGTTCTGGCCCAACTCCATCGCCGCTGGGGTCCTGCAGCAGCAGGGCAGCAATTCGGGGACAAATCCTGACGGTAAGGACAACCCCTGACAGCCCCTGCCCTTCTTGGATGGGATGGCAATGCATTAAATTATGGCCTAATTGGTAATTAAGGATTTCTAGAGCCCTTTATCCCCCTGTGGGGAAAATAAGTTAAAGAGGTGGCCCATGCAAGAAGGTCCTTCCAGTTGGCCATCTCAAGTGTGCTGGCAATGGGGCACTGCCATCTCCTTGGCTTAGGAGACCCACTATGGGGCATAACTTGGGATATTTCCTGAGGTGCTGGGAATGGGGTGAAGGGGGAGATGGGGAGAGGAGACAAAATGACAAAAAGATGAAAAAATGAAGATGAGAAGGCAGATAACACAAGATGGGGAGAGGATGAAGAGAGAACAGATAATGAAAATGAAGGGAAGAAGACATCTAAGATGAGCAGAGAGTTCAAAATAGATGAAGAGAAAAGAGAAGATGGAGATGAGAAGACAGATGAAGACAAGATGGGCAGCAAGAGGATGAAGAGAGATGAGTTGTTGAGTAGAGATGAAGAGAAGGTGAAAGGAGCAGAAATGAGAATGGACTGGACAAGAACAAAGAAGATGAAGAGAAGGGAAGGTGAAAATTAAGAGAAGATGAAGACGATCTGCCCAACCAATTTAGGTTTCTTGTTGTTTAATGAGGATACATTAGCTAAAAAAATTAAGGGTTGGACCTTGGTTAGTGGCTGGGGCAGGTGGGACACCCTGCTCTGTCTAGGTAAAGCTTTTTGCTTGGGTTATTCCTGGTTTATGTACTTTTTTGTCCCTTTTATAGTAGTCGGGGAGTCCTTATTTCTATGTTTTTTAATTTCAGGCTCGCTCAGCATGGACAACCTGCAACCCCTCTCGTCAGCCACGGCCACCATGGCCATGCAGCAGGCCATGCTGGCGGCCCATGACGACTCCCTTGACGGCACTGAGGAAGAGGAGGAGGATGAGGAGGATGAGGACGAGATGGAGGAAGAGGAAGAAGAGGAGGAAGAGCTGGAGGAAGAGCCTGGTGGTCTTCCAGCGGCACCTGGCGCCGACCTTGGCTTGGACCACAGTGACTCACTGGAATAGCTCCTCCTGCACCCTCCCAAATCACTGACAGCACCGGAAACAAAATTCCCCCCCAAATGCCAAAAAACCCCGGCAAGAACGGAAACAAAATCGGTGAGAAAAAAGCAAATTGGAGGCACTGGCGGATGCCCCGGCTGCCCACAGGAGCACGGGGACCACCACATCAGCGTGTGGAAGTGAAGGACACATGTTTACAAGGCACATATTGTGGCCAGATTGGTTTTTTTTCAGGTTTTATTCTTACTTTTCCCTTTTCCCCTTCATTTTTGGTAAGAAAAAGCAGTTTTAGGGGAAGCTGTTTTCCCCATGTGATGCTTGGATGCTGTTGGACAACAGCGGTTTTCACCGTGGGCCACCACATCCATCACTTGGATTTCTTGGTGAAAAAAAAAAAACAACCAACCCCAAGACTGATGTTTTTTGGGTTTTCCCAAAAAGATGATTCACGGGCATAAATACCGGCACACAGGGAAAATTAAAAAATCAGCAAGTGCAAGTTCTGTTTCAGGTTGGATCTGGGAAGAGTTTGGTGCTCTTGACCCACCATATTGCCCAAACCTCCCTGTTTTGGCCCCGATGCTGTGGCTGTTTGGTGACTCCGGATGCAACTTTCTGGAAAAAAGAGGAAATTCCTCCAAATCCTTTAATTTATGTGCTAAAACCCCATCGAATCTGGAAAATAATCACCCCATCCTCGTCCTTAAGGGCTGAGACTGGACGCAGAGTTGGGGCAAAGGCTGCCAGGAGTGAGACTTTCTCACAGTGTTTTGGCACTTGAGTCAGGAAAAAAATGGGGGGGGGGAAAAAAGGTTTAAAAAAATGCAGATTTTCACCCAAAATTGAACAACAACTCACAAGATTCACCTGGGTGGAAGGAAATTCAATATTGTTGCTGGAAAGACGGTTTCTCCCCAATATTGTCCACCTGTGTGGGAAAATGATGGAGTTTTACCCCAAAGGAGATATGGGGGAGGGCAGCTCTGAAAAAAAACAAGGTATTTGGTGATTTTTTTTAAATGCTAGTGAAAGGGCAAATTTTGCCTTAAAATGTGGCGTGGGGGGAATCGCAAAAGTAAACCTGGGTGATGTAGGGCAAAAATAATAAAGGAATTTTCTTCTGCAGGTTCCTCCTGTAAATGCAGGTTTCTGTAAGAAGGATTTTTTTTGTGGCTTTTTGCCAGTTTTGTCCTTATTTTTTTTGGCTCTTGAAGAGTTGAGAAAAAAAAACAAAGCAGCAGCCGGGGGGAAAAAATCCCACAAGTGATGCAATGGGCAGAAAAGCCTATTTTTCGATACTGATCTGGTGTGAATGTAATCTGTAATTTCATAAAGAATTCATTGTAATTTAGTATTAATTCATGGCCATTTATTATAAAGTGCTACGAGATGAGGTTTCTCAGCTGTATTTTATTGGCAGCTTCTTCCTGCGAGCAAAGAAGCCCCAAAATGGGTGAATAACCACCCCAAATGGGCAAAACTCTCCTCAAATAGGTGAATTGGCCCCAAAAATGGGTCACTGACCCAAATCTGCAATTGAGTGATATGGTGCAAATAGGATTTATTCTTCTAAAAGTGATGCTCCTCCGAAAATAAGTGATGCTCCCTCCCCCCCATGAGCTCCAGTGTGATTTGATCCCCAAATGAATGATGCTTCCCCCAAAATGGGTGATACACCCCCAAAATGTTATGCTGCCCCTGAAATGAGTGATGCTCACCCCAAAATATTCTCCAAAAATGAGTGATGCTTCCCAAAAAGGAGTGACCCCCCCAAAATGGATGATACTTCCCCAAAACGACATGCTCTCCAAAATTGAAGCGTATCCCCAGAAAAGTGGTTATTTCCCCAAAATGGACAATGTTCCCCAACGTCAGGGATGCTCTCCAAATACAAGCGCTGGTCCCCAAAATTAGTTTGTCTCCTCCAAAACAGGTAATTTTTTGGAGTGGTGCTCCAAAAATTATTGATCTTCTCAAAACTGTGATGCTCCCCAAAATTTTTCTCCCAAAAGAGCCATTCTCCCCGAATATGAGTGATGGTCCCCCAAAATTATGCCCTCCCAAACTAGCAGTCCTCCCAAAAACGAGTGACTCTCCCCAAAAGCAAGCAGTGCTCCCAAAAATGAGTAAATCTCCCCCAAACAGGTATCTTCTCCCTAAATGACTGAATTTGCCCCCGAAATGGATTACATGCTCAAAAAATAAGCCCCAAATGAGAAACTGTTCCCCAAAATGAGTGACAAACCCCAAAACAGAGCAAGTCTCACCCAAATGGAAGGCCCCCCCTCCCAATTCCCTAATGAGCCTCTGCTAATTAATGGGTTAATTTTCTGGAACACAAAGGTGATCTTTGCACAATTTTTAGTAGAAAATGGGTCTACACAAAACTAAAAATGGGGAAAAGCCCCTCAAAATGGAGTTTACAGCTGAATTTTGCCCCTCGGATCGCAGCAGCTGCCTGCGGCCCTGCAGCCGGCTGAGCACCCAGCAGCTCGTTAGCCAGAAATTTGCATATTTTATAAAATGCTGAATATTCATGAGCATTGCAGCCAAGTCCTTGTCGTTTTTTTCCGTCAAAAAAGTGCATTTTTCTAACGAAAATTTGCAAAACGACGTCGCAAGCAGGGGGGATGAAGACGCCGGAGGCCGGTTGCTTAATTAATGAAACGAATTATTTATTTCCCAGCTGTGCAAAGGTGGGGGGAGTGCGGGGGGAGGGGCGGGGCGCAGGCGACCCGTTTTCCTCGGGTTTGGCCCCGTTTTCGGGGGGTGCCGGGGTGGGGGCAGCGCCGCATCAGGTTGGGCAGAGCACTGCAAAGAGAGAGGTCATGGGTGTGCACCAGCGTGCACCAGGGACCTACAGGGTGGCACGTGGGTGCACCATGATGCACGAGTGTGCATGAGGACGCAGCATGAGGGTGCACGGGGATGCAGGGGGATGCGTGACAATGCACGAGCGTGCACGGAGATGCACAAGTGTGCACAGGGATGCATGAGGACGTGCAATGATGCACAAGTGTGCATGGGGATGCATGAGGATGTGCAATGACACATGAGCGTGCACAGGGATGCATGAGGATGCGTGATAATGCACGAGCGTGCACGGGGATGCACAAGTGTGCACGGGGATGCACAAGGATGCGCAACAACGCATGAGTGCACAGGGATGTATGAGGACGCGTGATGACACATGAACATGTGTGGGGGTGCACGAGTGTGCACGGGGGGACAAGGATGTGCGATGATGCACGAGTGTGCACGGGGATGCACAAGAATACGCAATGATGTGCAAGCATGCATGGAGATGCGCAAGTGCGCACAAGGATGCAAAGGGATGCGCGACAATGCACCAAGTGTGCAACGGGGATGCCAAGAGTGCACAAGCACACACTGGAATACAGGAGTGATTCATAAGGGTGCACAGCGGTCGTGTGAAGATACACACGTGTGCACAAGGATGCCTGGGGGTGTGCAAATGGCAGCAAATGGGATGCATGGAGGATGCAGGAGGGACGTGGGAGCGATGCACGTGGAACGCACAAGGCATGGAGGGTGCATGAGGGATGCACAAGGACGCAGGCAGCTGCACGAGAGATGGAGAAGAGTGAGGGATGCGCGAGGATACCCAGGAGATGCACCGGGGATGGATGGGGGATGCGTGATGGTGCATGAGGTGGTGCACAGGGGTTCACGAGGCTGCATGAAGGGCACGCAGTGATCTGTGAAGGTGTGGGAGGGCGCGTGAGGGATGGACGCACAAGAGATGTACCCGGGATTCACAAAGGGTGCACGACGGTGCCTTTCCTGCGAGACTGGGCTGGGGGGGCGTGGAGATGGGACTGGGGGTGCTGAGGAGACCCCGGGCAGCGGGGAGCCTGTCCTTGAGGGGACAGGTTTTTGGCAAGTATGTAAAAAGCATGGGGGCTGGAAATAAATCTCTTAAGGTCCCTTCCAACCCCAACCATTTTGTGACTGAGGGGAGCCTGTCCTTGGAGTGCTGCAGGGAGAATGGGCTGGGGGGAGCCTGTCTTTGAGGGGACTTTTTATTTTATGCAAGTATGTGAAAAACAGGGGGGTTGGAACTAAAACTTTTAAGGTCCCTTCCAACCCAAACCATTCTGTGACTGAGGGAAGCCTGTCCATGGGGGGCTGAGGGGAGCCTGGGCTGAGGGGACTCTGTCCTTGAAGGGACTTTATTTTAATTCAAGCATGTAGAAAACATGGGGGTTGGAACTGAAACTGTTAAGGTCCTTTCCAAACCAGTCTGTGATTCTGTGGATGCACCGGAGATGCGTGAGGGTTGCATACAGGATGCAAGGGAGATGCGGGACGCACAGGAGGTGCATGGAGTATGCAAGGGAGGTGCACAAGAATGGAGAAAGGATGCACGGAGATGTATGAAGGATGCATGTGGGATGCAGATGTACCTGGTGTTCACAGAGGATGCACACAGGATGCACTGGAGATGCATGAGGGATGCACAGGGACACACGGGGGATGCAGGAAGGATCCGTGGTGGATGCAGAGAGGCACGAGGGCTGAATGGGAGCTGCAGGAAGGATGCACGAGGGGTGCACAAGGGGATGGACGACGCGAGCAGGTACCTTTGAGGATGTAGTCCGTGAGCAGTGTGGGCACCTTCTCATTCCCCTCCTTCATGGCAAACAGGACTGTGAGGGGGAACAGAGCTGTGAGCCTGGCCCCACTAACCCCCAAACGTCCCTTTTCCCCCCCAAATCAGCCCTACAGTTGCCACAGAGACACTGCCAAAGTTTCCCACAATGCACCAGGCCTGAGAGGATCCAAAAAAACCCACTTTCACTCCAATCAGCCAAGTCGTGGCAACACATAAAGTGTTTTACACCCAATCAGCACTGGTGTAGGGTGCAAAAATGGGGTGTGGGGGTGTGTGTTTGCTGCAAATCAGCTGTGCTGCAGCGATGCAAAATGCATGATTGCACCCCAAACTGTGCTGCCATGCTGCAAAAATGGGTCTTTCCCCCCAAAAATGGCCTTCGTTGCAATGATGCACCCAAGCTGCAGCTGCTGCAGCAACACAAAACACGCATTTGTGTTCCAAATCCACCGTGCCGTGGTGAGGCAAAATGATTGATTCTGCCCCAAACCCAGCAGCTTTAACGAACACTCACTGTTGGTGAGCATCTGCAGGTCCTCGACAGAAGGCGGCGACCCCTTCTTCTCGTAAGGAATCACCGTGTTCAGGTACTGAAAAAAAACCAAACGCCACCCCAAAAAACAGCCAGATGGCACAAACCTGCCTATTTTTTGCAATGCCTTGCTACAAATTGCCCCAAACTGATGCAAAAGCAGAATATGTCTGTGATTTTTCAGTGACTGCATTTAAGCTGCAGGTATTTTTTGGCATGCTGAACTAACCGCATGCTTCAAAACCCTCTCAAATGCAAACCCCTGCTTAGGAAGGATTGTTTAGGGTGAAAAATGGTGATTTTTGCATGGATTAGCAGGGTGCAGGGGATGGACTGGGTTTGTAAATTTTAAAAATATTTTAAAAGGGGGTTTGGGGGATGCAGAGGAATGGGGTGTGCAGGGGTGGTGGTGAAAGGGGACAGATTCGAGCAAGTTTGAAGGGAAAAAGGGGAAAAGGGCACCTGCTTCTCGTTGGCAGCGGGGCCGAAGGTCTGGCGCAGGCCCGAGTGCAGTATGCTGGAGATGCCCTCCATGCTGAAGCGCTGGGGACACGTGTGTCACCCCGTCACCTCCCAGGGACACAGACAGCACCCGTGGCACCTCCCTTGGCACCAATGTCCCCCTGGTTCCCATCCATATCCCCCTTTCCCCTGACCCACATCCCTCTGCCCCATCCCCTCACCCATCCCCTGTCCCCACATCCCCGTCCCATGTCCCAACATCCCTCATCCCCCTACCCCATGTACCCCCCAACATGTCCCTCTGCCCTATCCTGTCCCCACATCCCTGTCCCATGTCCCCCC